TGATCAAAATTTGTCCGTTGTCTGTCGTCATCATCGTTGTAAACTTTTCACTATTTCATCTTCTTCTGTGGACAATAAAGAATTAGTGAAAAATTAATAGCATCTTATAAAAATCTTCCACTCAAGAACCACAGGGCCAGGAAAGATGAAACTCATGTGGAAGCATCCTCAGGTAGTGTAGATTCAAGTTTGTTCAAATCATGACCCCCAGGGGTAGGGCGGGGCCACAATGGAGGATCAAAGTTTTACATAAAAATATATAGGAAATATCTTTAAAAATCTTCTTCTCAAGAACAGCAAAGCCATGATGATTCATATTTATATGGAAACATCCTCAGGTAGTGTAGATTCAAGTTTGTTCAAATCATGACCCCCAGGGGTAGGGCGGGGCCACAATGGAGGATCAAAGTTTTACATAAAAATATATAGGAAATATCTTTAAAAATCTTCTTCTCAAGAACAGCAAAGCCATGATGATTCATATTTATATGGAAACATCCTCAAGTAGCGTAAATTTAAGTTTGTTCAAATCATGACCCCCAGGGGTAGGGTGGGGCCACAATGGAGGATCAAAGTTTTACATAAAAATATATAGGAAATATCTTTAAAAATCTTCTTCTCAAGAACAGCAAAGCCATGATGATTCATATTTATATGGAAACATCCTCAAGTAGCGTAAATTTAAGTTTGTTCAAATCATGACCCCCAGGGGTAGGGCGGGGCCACAATGGAGGATCAAAGTTTTACAGAGAAATATATAGGAAAAATCTTCAAAAATCTTCTTTTCAAGAACAGCAAAGCCATGATTTGTCATATTTATGTGAAAGCATCCTCAGGTGGTGTAGATTCAAATTTGTTCAAATCATGACCCCCAGGGGTAGGGTGGGGCCACAATGGACGATCAAAGTTTTACAAAGAAATATATAGGAAAAATCTTTAAAAATCTTCTCAAGGACAGCAAAGCCATGATTTGACATATTTATATGGAAGCATCCTCAGATAGTGTTGATTCAAGTTTGTTCAAATCATGACCTCCAGGGGTAGGGTGGGGCCACAATGAAAGTTCAAACTTGTAGAGAAAAAAGTCACAGTTAGTCAAAAATTATGTAAGCATCCTTAGTTAATGTAGATTTAATTTTGTTCAAATCATACCCCCCCCCCCCCAATCCCTTTTAGGGGTAGGTTGGGACCACTTATGCATTTAAGCTTTTCAATACTAAAGTGATTTTTCCTGTTTTCCTAGCCACCGTGCTCAGGTGAGCGATGTGGCCCCTGGGCCTCTTGTTAATTTTACTGCAGTCAGGAGTGCAACAAAACTGTTCTATAATTATCAATTATCTTCAACTGTCTTTACTTAAAAAATAAATTGAAAAAAATTTTTGATACTTTTTGATGTTCAAAACATTATGGTCGCCCGCGTGGCGCAGTGGTTAGAGCGTCTGCTCTAGAGTCGCTGAGTAAGGAGTTGATCCTTACGTCACGGGTTCGAATCCCACTGTGGGACGTGGAGACCAGTCCTTCGGACGAGACCGTATAAACCGAGGTCCCATGTCGCAGTAGGTGCTGGCACGAAAAAGATCCCTCACTGCTCAATGGCCGTAAGTGCCGAGTATAGGACAAAATTTGCAGCTCTCCACCGGCAAGTGGTGGCGTCTCCATATGAGTGAAAAATTCTCAAGAGAGACGTTTAAGAACATACAAACAAACAAACAAAACATTATGCTTATCAACTAATTACAGAATGATGTTTTACAGTCAATTGAGAGAATAGTTTTCATCACTTAACATACATATTTTTAGCTCACCTGAGCTGAAAGCTCAAGTGAGCTTTTCTGATCACCCGTTGTCCGTCGTCCGTCCGTCCGTCTGTCCGTCCGTCTGTCCGTCCGTCTGTCCGTCCGTCTGTAAACTTTTCACATTTTCGACTTCTTCTCAAGAACCACTGGGCCAATTTTAACCAAACTTAGTACAAAGCATTCTTGGGTAAAGGGGAGTTTAAATTGTTAAAATGAAGGGCCAAGTCCTGTTCAAAGGGGAGATAATCAAGAAAATACAAAAATTGGGTGGGGTCATTAAAAAATCTTCTTCTCAAGAACCACTGGGCCAGAAAAGCTGAAACTTATGTGGAAGCATCCTGGGGTAGTGTAGATTCTAAATTGTTCAAATCATGACCCCCAGGGTTAAGGCGGGGCCACAATAAGGAATCCAAGTTTTACATAGAAATATGTAGTAAAAATCTTAAAAAATCTTCTTCTCAAGAACCACTGGGCCAGAGAAGCTGAAACTTATGTGGAAGCATCCTTGGGTAGTTTAGATTCTAAATTGTTCAAATCATGACCCCCAGGGGTAGGGTGGGGCCACAATAGGGAATCCAAGTTTTACATTGAAATATATCGTAAAAATATTTAAAAATCTTCTCCTCGAGAACCACTGGGCCAGAGAAGCTGAAACTTATGTGGAAGCATCCTGGGGTAGTGTAGATTCTAAATTGTTCAAATCATGACCCCCGGGGTTAGGGCGGGGCCACAATAAGGAATCCAAGTTTTACATAGAAATATGTAGTAAAAATCTTAAAAAATCTTCTTCTCAAGAACCACTGGGCCAGAGAAGCTGAAACTTATGTGGAAGCATCCTTGGGTAGTGTAGATTCTAAATTGTTCAAATCATGACCCCCAGGGTTAAGGCGGGGCCACAATAAGGAATCCAAGTTTTACATAGAAATATGTAGTAAAAATCTTAAAAAATCTTCTTCTCAAGAACCACTAGGCCAGAGAAGCTGAAACTTATGTGGAAGCATCCTTGGGTAGTTTAGATTCTAAATTGTTCAAATCATGACCCCCAGGGGTAGGGTGGGGCCACAATAGGGAATCCAAGTTTTACATTGAAATATATCGTAAAAATATTTAAAAATCTTCTTCTCGAGAACCACTGGGCCAGAGAAGCTGAAACTTATGTGGAAGCATCCTTGGGTAGTGTAGATTCTAAATTGTTCAAATCATGACCCTCGGGGGTAGGGTGGGGCCACAATAAGGAATCCAAGTTTTACATTGAAATATATAGTAAAAATATTTAAAAATCTTCTTCTCAAGAACCACTGGGCCAGAGAAGCTGAAACTTATGTGGAAGCATCCTTGGGTAGTGTAGATTCTAAATTGTTCAAATCATGACCCCCGGGGGTAGGGTGGGGCCACAATAAGGAATCCAAGTTTTACATTGAAATATATAGTAAAAATATTTTAAAAATCTTCTTCTCGAGAACCACTGGGCCAGAGAAGCTGAAACTTATGTGGAAGCATCCTGAGGTAGTGCAGATTCTAAATTGTTCAAATCATGACCTCCAGGATTAGGGCGGGGCCACAATAGGGAATCCAAGTTTTACATAGAAATATGTAGTAAAAATCTTTAAAAATCTTCTTCTCAAGAACCACTAGGCCAGAAAGGCTGAAACTTATGTAGAAGCATCCTTGGGTAGTGTAGATTCTAAATTGTTCAAATCTTGACCCCTGGGGTTAGGGCGGGGCCACAATAAGGAATCCAAGTTTTACATTGAAATATATAGTAAAAATATTTAAAAATCTTTTTCTCAAGAACCACTGGGCCAGAGAAGCTGAAACTTATGTGGAAGCATCCTTGGGTAGTGTAGATTTTAAATTGTTCAAATCATGACCCCCGGGGGGTAGGACGGGGGGCCACAATAGGGAATCCAAGTTTTACATAGAAATATGTAGTTAAAATCTTATAAAATCTTCTTCTCAAGAACCACTAGGCCAGAAAGACTGAAACTTATTTGGAAGTTTCCTTGGGTAGTGTAGATTCTAAATTGTTCAAATCATGACCCCAGGGGTTAGGGTGGGGCCACAATAAGGAATCCAAGTTTTACATTGAAATATATAGTAAAAATATTTAAAAATCTTCTCAAGAACCACTAGGCCAGAAAAGCTGAAACTTATTTGAAAGCATCCTGGGGTAGTGTAGATTCTAAATTGTTCAAATCATGACCCCCGGGGGTTAGGTTGGGGCCACAATAGGGAATCCAAGTTTTACATTGAAATATGTAGTAAAAATCTTCTTCTCAAGAACCACTGGGCCAGAAAAGCTGAAACTAATGTGGAAACATTCTTGGGTAGTGTAGATTCTAAATTGTTCAAATCATGACCCTCGGGGGTAGGGGGGAGGGACCACAATAAGTACTACGAGGGGGGGGGGAGAAATCAGGTGAAAAACAGCAAGGCCAAAGTTACTCAGGTGAGCGCTGTGGCCCATGGGCCTCTTGTTAAATACATTGTATATATTACACATTGCAAATAATCAGGTTTTGAAGTCTTGGAAATATGAAAAACTTGCCGTAAATGATAAAAAAAATTTTAAAAACTGACTTAAATGGACAAAAAACTGGTTTGAGAGGAATTTTATTTTTTCATATTTCTTTCATATTAAAACTTTTCAAATCAGAATTGAAAAAATAATGTAAATTAACAATTAAAAAGCTATTTTTTTTTCCACATATACCAGAGAAGAAACTCAATCAAGGTTTAGATCTAATCATTTATATCACTGATACCATTTTGAAGCATAAAAGGCAATAATTTCTTTTGATTATGTATTTTAGAAAGTGTTTTAGGATATAGTGATATTTTTTTCTTCAAAATAATTTTAAAGTTTTACAAATAAAAATTCTGAAACTTTTTTATCCAATTGTCTATTCTATTGCAACTTCAGGAATTTAACTAGAATGCAGGTACAATATGATGATATAAGTGAAAAATATGGGTAGTTGAATTTTTTTTTTTTTAAATTCAATTTGGTGGTCTTTTCTTTTTAATTCACCCTTATAAGACAATCAGTTTTGAATCCTGAAATTTTTTACTGACCTGATTCAAGTTTTACTGATCATTAAAACCAACAGTCAAGTGACTTTAACATAGACTGCTACAGTTCTGTAGCTGTAAAATTACGTAAGTCATACCATCTAAACTGTATATTTAAAAAAACAATTTCAGGGCCAAAGAATTTGTTCACATTCCTCTGATGGTGCTGAATCTAGGGGACACAACTCACTCTGAATACAATTCTGAATACAATGCTACAAACTATGATGGGTCTGGGAGAATGACAAAAGTCATAGATAAACACAGGTAAGAGTAAAAACTCAATCATGTTATAAAATTAATAATGGCAATATCTTTCATAATTTGAAAGTTAATGTGAGAAGAAAGAAAAAATTTGCTTTTTCTAAATACACCTGAACCAAAGTCTTGTAAGATTTTCTTAAGGGCCCTGTCACACCAAGCTGCGTCCCCACTGAGTTATTACAGCTTTGTTAAATTTCAAAAATCGCCTTGGAATGGCAGGGAAATTGCACAAATTTCTGTAAAATTTTCATAATGTGAAGATGTCACGGCGTCCCTATGGCGATTGACGCATTTCATGGCGTTTTCGCAGCCTGCTACTGCATTCCCACAGAGATCTCTTGGCATTTGACTGCGCTTCCACGGAGTTTTCACGGCATGCTAGGAGTTGTCAGCTTGCGTTGATGGCATTCTCACTGCACTGGTTGCGTTCACAATACGTTCACAATGCATTATTCACCCATGTTTATATATATATATATATATATATATATATAGGAGGAGTGTAACACATTTTTAAAAAATCTTTGTATTTATTATGAATGTAAAAGATAAACACACTGAAAAGTTAAAATTAAAGTATTTCCACCTAAACTCCACTGAAACAACAGAACTACTGCGTTCTTATCAGACCGTGCTCACACAGCGCATACTTTGTTCCTGCCCAAAGTGCACACCGTCCCCTGGCATTCTAGGAGACCCTACAGTGTTCAGTGGAGATCTTGCCTTGTTGTCACAGACTCTACTACACTCACCTTGGTGTTTTGCATTATTTATGGACTCTGTGCGATCGCCTTGAGGATGCAGTTCCTGTGTGACAGGGGTTTAACAAATTTTGTCAATGAAATATGGAGGTAATGAACAGTAACCCCCTGTGAAAACTTCTTGAACTTTTCTAGAATTGTCCCAGATTATTTCTAGTACTTTTAGATAAGGCCACCTTTAAAATATTGTTTGCTTGCCCTCTCCTGACTAAGGGTTAAAAAACTGGGTCGGTAGGTAGGTGGAAATTCTTTTTTTTCTCAGAAAATTTCAACATACACTTTGACGGAGTGAGAAAATTCAGGGAAAAAAATTATTGTTTCCTGGAGGTTAAAAAAGTCTTGAGTTGGGCCATTTTTAGACTGTCGGGAGAGGGCAACCAAACAATTTTTTAAAGATGGCCTTAAAAAATCCAGAAATATCCTTGATGTAATCCATTACTTATTTTGTGCATTACTAAAAACGTTAGATTATGTTAAATGAGCCGTTTCTTGAACTGTACTAGAACAAGAGTTCTGGAACAAGTCTGAGGAACACCAGTTCTAGAACAGCCTGGATCAAGGGTTTTTTAGCTCACCTGAGTCAAAGGCTCAAGTGAGCTTTTCTGATCACATTTTATTTGGCGTGCGTCTGTCTGTCTGTCCATCTGTAAACTTTTCACATTTTTGACTTCTTCTCAAGAACCACTGGGCCAATTTCAACCAAACTTGCCATCAAATATCCTTGGGTAAAGGGGATTCAAATTCGTTCAAATGAAGGGCCAAGGGGAGATAATTACAAATAAGTAAAAAATTAATAGCATCATTTAAAAATCTGCTCAAGAACCACTGGGCCAGGAAAGATGAAACTCATGTGGTATCATCCTCAGGTAGTGTAGATTCAAGTTTATTAAAATCATGACACCCAGGGGTAGGGTGGGGCCACAATGGAAATCAAAGTTTTACATAGGAATATATAGGAAAAAAATCTTTAAAAATCTTCTTCTCAAGAACAGCAAAGCCATGTTTTGTCATATTGATATGGAAGCATCCTCATGTAGTGTAGATTCAATTTTGTTCAAATCATGATCCCTAGGGGTAGGATGGGGCAACAATGGGGGATCATAAATTAACATAGGAATATATTGGGAAAAAACTAGAAAAATCTTCTTCTCAAGGACAGCAAAGCCATGATTATTCTTATTGCCATGGAAGCATTCTCAGGTAGTGTAGATTCAAATTTATTCAAATCATAAACTCCAGGGGTAGGGTGTGGTCACAAAAGGGGAACTAGGAATATATAGGAAAAAAACTTTTAAAATCTTATTCTTAAGAAAAGCAAAGCCATGTTTTGTCATATTGATATGGAAGCATCCTCAAGTAGTGTAGATTCAAGTTTGTTCAAATGATGAAGCCCTCTCCCCCCACCCCCACAATGGGGGATCAAATTTTATAACAAAAGAATATATGGGAAAAAATCTTTAATAATCTTCTGCTCAAGAACAGCAAAGCCATTTGTTTTATTGATATGGAAGCATCCTCAGGTAGTTCAAAATTCAAGCCCCCCCCCCCCCCCCCATTTAAACTTTTTCAATACTGAACCAATTTGTGCTTTTTCCTAGCCAGTGTGCTCAGGTGAGCAATGTGGCCCATGGGACAGGCATACAGGTAAAGTTCTGGACAAGTTCTAGATTAAGGGACAGGTACTGTTTCTGAACAGTTCTGGAAATATATGTTCTGGAACTGTTCAGGTATTTTAAATGAGACATGAGGTTAACTATAGAATTTAACATTCTGGTACTTGAGTTCTAAATATGTCCCACTACTAATACAACTTGAACTGTTCCAGATCTGTTTAAGAACCACTTTAGTACCATTCTAGAACAGTTGATGATCAACTGTTCTAGTATGGTACTTATGGTGGTTCTTGAACTGATCAAGAACAGTTCAAATGATGGAATATTGTTCTATTAATTAAAAGAATGAAATATGGAGTTAACAAACAGTAAATTAAAAGAACAATCCAAGAACATATCAATTTGCCACTATACTTTCCTGTTTCAATTGAGGTCTTAGTCTCACCAACTTGGTTTAAATTAGGTTCTCTTTGCTCAAGAAAGCTACTTCTAAAATAGAAGTTTTAAACTTTTTTATAAAATCACAATTCACTAGGTTTGAAACACATTTCTACTTTTCTACATTTTCATTTCAAATTTACATTTCATTTCAAATGTGTATTCCTTGTGACAAGACATTTCTTTGGATACCATTATATTTGACCTGTTAATCTTGACCTTGGAATTTGACACAGTTTTGCAAAATTTTACCGGACTTTAACCTTGGCCATAACTTTTGAATGATTGGTGCTAGGACTTTCATACTTCATATGTGTAATCCTTGTGACAAGACCTTCCTTTGGATACCAACAACTTTGACCCTTTTACCTTGACCTAGGAGTTTGACCTACTTTTTAAAAACTTTAACCTTGGCCTTAACTTTTTGAACAGTTGGTGCTAGGACTTTCATACTTCACATATGTAATCCTTATGACAAGACCTTCCTTTGAATACCCACAACTTTGACCCTTTGATCTTGACCTTAGAGTTTGACCTACTTGGAAAACATTAAGCTTGGCCATAACTTTTGAAAGGTTGGTGGTGTGGCTTTCATATTTAAATGTCTATTCTTTGTGACAAAACCTTCCTTTGTATACTAATAATTGTAATCCATTGACCTTGACCTAGGAGTTTGACCTACTTTTGAAAAACTTTAACCTTTGCCATAACTTTTGAAAGATTGTTGCTACGGCTTTCATATTTCACCTGTGTATTTCATGTGAGAAGGCCTTTCCTTGGACACCATTAATTTTGACCATTTGACCTTGACCTTGATGTTCGACTAACCCAGACAAGACCTTACTTTGGGTACCAACATATTTGATTTGCATTTGAGAAAGTTTAACCTTTGCTTAAGTTGTCATATGGGGGCATCAGTGTTTCACCAACACATGTTGTTGTTTCTTTTCTTAGTTGGTTTTCTTTTTTTTAGCTCACCTGAGCTGAAAGTTCAAGTGAGCTTTTCTGATCACATTTTATCCGTCTGTCCATCTAGCTGTCCATCCATCTGTCTGTAAACTTTTCACATTTTGGACTTCTCCAGAACCACTGTGCCAATTTCAACCAAACTTGTCACAAAACATCCTTGGGTGAAGGGGATTCAAGTTTGTTCAAATGAAGGGACACATCCTCCTCCACGGGGAGATAATTAAGAATTAGTGAAAATTTAGTAGTATCTCCTAAAAATCTTCTTCTGAAGAACCACTTGGTCAGAAAAGTAGATTCAAATTTATTCAAATTATGACCCCTAGGGGCAGGTTGGGGCCACAATGGGTGATCAAAGTTTTGCATGGGAATATATATGGAAAAATCTTTAAAATTTTCTTCTCAAGAACATCAAAGCCATTCTTAGTCTTATTGATATGATAACATCCTAACATAGTGAAGATTCAAATTTGTTCAAATCATGACCCCTGGGGGTTGAATGGGGCCTCAGTCAGGGATAAAAATTTTACCTAGGAATATATAGGAAAATAAAATCTTTAAAAGGCTTCTTCTCAAGAACAGCAAAGCCATGATTTGTCATATTAATATGGAAGCATCTTCAGGTAGTGTAGATTCAATTTTTTTCAATTGATGACCTTGGTGGTAAGGTTGGGCCACAATGGAGGAGATCAAAGTTTAAAATAAGAATAGTTTGGAAAAAAATCTTTAAAAATCTTCTCCTCAACAGCAGAGCCATGTTTAGTCATATTGATTTGGAAGCATCGTCAGATAGTGAAGATTCAAATTTGTTCAATCTTGACCCTAAGGGGTAGGGTGAGACCACAATGGGCGATCAAAGTTTTACATAGAAATATGTAGGAAAAAAATCTTCTTCTCAAGAACAGCAAAGCCATATTTGTCATATTGAAGTGGAAGCATCCTTAGCTAGTATAGATTCAAGTTTGTTCAAATCATTACCCTCAGGGTGGGGCCCCAATGAGGGGATCAAGGATTATATAGGAAAAAATCTTCAAAAATCTTTTTCTCAAGAACAGTAGAGCTATGACTAGTCATATTGATATGGAAGCATCCTCAAGAAGTGTAGATTCATGTTTGTTCAAATCTTGACCACTGGGGGTAGGGTGGGACCCACAATGCACTATCAGAATTTAACATTTGGATGCATAGGAAAAAAATTCTCTAAAATCTTTTTCTCAAGAACAGCAAATCTTTCTTTAGTCACATTGATATGGAAGTATCTTGAGGTAGTGTAGATTCAAGTTTTTTTTTTTCAAATTGTGACCCTGAGGGGTAGGGTAGGACTACATCTACAATAGTGATGACACTGGGGGTAGGGTGGGATCTCTATAGGGATAAAAGTTTAATATAGGAATGTATAATAGAAAAAATCTAGTGATGAAGAACAACAGGGCCATTTTGACTCAGGTGAGCATTGTGGTCCATGAGCCTCTTGTTTTTGTTTTGTTTTGTCTTGTTTTGTTTTTTGTTGTTTTTTTTGAAAAGGAGAGGGGGTGGGGGTAAATTACCTAGCCTTAGCCTGTTATAAATGGGAGTTGTTCCTCATTCCACTTCTTGAGTTAAGATTCTGACCTTTATGACAAGGTCAAAGGTCAAGGTTGAAGGTCATGTAAAAAAAAAAAACTCTTTAAACTGAGACTTGAGCTAGTTATATCTGACCCTTGCGTAAGGGTCAAGGTCAAAGGTCATAAAATTTTAATACCAATTGTGAAACAATTGAACAGATTATTAAAGGAAGTGAAACACAAATGCAGTTTATCATTCTCAGAACTTTTCAGATGTTCCTCTGTTTAAAGTAATATTTACAAAAGAAATTACCAAGAATAAGGCATATAATTGTGGGTGGATCAAAACCAGATATTGTAGTGTTTTCAAATTTAACAAGGGAGTAAATTAGACAACACATAATGCTGGTAAAGAAAATTGTCTTGTGACACCCAAGTGGTTGTAAAATCCTATGGCAACTTGTTCTTTTGTTTTTTTGTTTTTTTTTTTTTTTTTGTAGGCCAGCTTTGTTAAGTAGTGATAAACAGCCAAAAGAAGTAAAGGAAGTAATGAGATTTGCTGATGATTTACAGTCCCAGTTAGTGGTAAGAGCTGTTCAGGGGCCTATTTTACAAAAGAACCATAAGAGTGAATTTAAAAGAAATGACCACCAAACTGATTTTTTTTTTTTGGAAAAATTCAACTACTTACAACATATTTTTCACTTATATCATCATATTGCACATGCATTCTAGTTTAAAATCCAATAGAATAGACAATTAGATTAAAAAATTTCAGAATTTTTACAAGTAAAATTTCTTTTGAAAAAAGAAAATATCATTACACCTTAAAAGACTTTTAAAATACATAATCACAAGAAAATTTTTTTTTATGCTTCAAAATGGTAAAAGGGGTATAAATGATTAAATCTAGACCTTGATTGAGTATCTTCTCTTGTATATGTGACAAAAAATTGGCTTTTTGACTGTTAATTTACATTATTTTTTTAATTCTGGTTAATATGAAAAAAATATGAAGCAACAAAATTCACTTTTTTTGTCTGTTCAAGTTAATTCTTTAAATCTAAGCCAAAAAAGAATTTTTATATACAAGTTCTCTTACAAAGAATACTAGATTTTGAAGTGACCCTATGTTATATTATTGTGTTGCACTTCTGACATCTGATATGTATTTTATTTAACATGGTTTTAAAAATTATAACACACAATAACCCATCCTTACTTTGTAAATCAATTTGTCATTTTGATATTTTTCATCATTTACGACAGGTTTTTCATATTTTTAAGACCTTAAAACATGATTATTTGCAAAGCGTAATATTTATAAATTGTATGTATTTAAAAATATATGTCAAATGATGAAAACTATTCCCGAATTGACTGTAAAATTTCTGTAATTTGTTGATAGACATAGTGTTGTAAACATCAAATAGTATCAAACATTTTTTCAACTTATTTTTTAGTAAAGATAGTTAAAAAGCATTGGTAATAATAAAGCAGTTTTGTTGCACTCCTGACTGTAGTAAAATTTAAAATCAAAACCATAAAACACAAAAATTCATAAAGTGTTTGCAACATCAAGTGGTAATGAAATTGTGCAATATTTATAATCCAATACTTCATAATTAAAACAAATGACAACTAGTATTTAAAATTCTTTTTTTATCTGGAATTATTCCCTATTTATACCTAAAAACTAGCTTAAATGTATATTTAAAAGAAAATATGTATTTTATAGCATATTTTCCTTTAGAGGACAAACACAGTAACCTACCAGAAAAATTCTGCTCATCATTTTTTCTTTATATTTATTCTTATTGGATGATTTATAATTCTAACATATTTGTTGTACTCCTGACTAAAAGCATTGGGGCCTTTAAAGTAGAATTGTGAAGTGAAAATTACATAAGAACTTGTTCTGTTGTTTCAGTGAAGTTGAGGAGGAATTACTTGAATTTTATGACAATTTTTTAGTGTTTATTTTTAACACTCATTAAAAAATCACAAAAAAGATAAAAACACATCTGAATTGATAAAATTGAAAAAGGAAGGATTTTAATAATAAAACTGTCAATAATTTAGTATTAACGACGACGGACCTAATTCATTTCTGCAATAGAGTTTTTATTTAAATTTTGATATGAGGTAAAGTGACTTTTGGTGAGTTAAAATCAATAAAAAAAATTATATGGTCATCGATGTAGATTTTTAATGGGGAGCGTTTCAAAAGTTGGTGATGGAAACCAATAATTACTATAGAAAGTAATGGGAAATTGCCAGTGTACGGTATAAAAGTGATCATTAAAAAAATTCTGCAATAGAATTTTTATTCATATTAAAGGATTATGTAAACAAGACAATTTACTAGCAAATTATGCCAAAAAATAAATGGGTCATTGGCCTTAACTTTTAAGGGGGGCATGTCAAACTCTGGTGTAGGGCACATTTTGGGGAAAAATTATCATTGAAAATACCTTGGCCAAATAAATTCTGATGTTTCATGTACTTATTCTTTAATTTACTTTAACACTAAATAATGATAATAATTTAAAGTGGTTTGCCAATTTAAAAAAACTCTAAGGATGGTGTCCAATTATGATATACGTGAATTATGTGCATATAATACTCTAAGGATGGTCTCAAAGTATGATTTACGTGATCCGCGTCCTATAGGTCCCTGATGTAACAAATCATTATCTGCAAGCCTGTTCATTTCAGAAGTTTAAAGTTTTCTGAGCAAACTAAACTCAAATACATGTACATGTATATTATACAGTGTTTATCAAATTATACATATGCATAGATGGTAAAAGGCCAAGTGAATTTTAAGGGACTGTTTCAAGATAGGACTCTTTGGTTTCTGTCTTGTTCCGACATTTTACTGTCTTTACTATCTTTTTGTACAGGGTTCTGTATTTTTTGGACTAAGAGTTTTAAATTGAAATATGGCAAAATTTGGCATTCATAATCAAAATCATTTTTAATTACTCTTATAGACTCATTTTCCACTAAATATGCTTTAATAGTCAACTTAAAAGACAAAATATAAATCTATGATTGCATACTGATGTCTTAATCATGTTAATGAACTATGATAAACTGTAGAATAAATATTTAAATTGTAGGAGTATCCTCTTTTCTTATCTTTATGAATTAATAATAATCTACAAATTCCAAGACTTTTGATAGTGATATATGTAAATAGTGAAGAAAATATCCATCAGCTTGTAATTTGGGAATTCCTACCCATAATCTTTACAAAGATACATTATTTCAATTGAGAATTCATGTGTCTTTTTACAGGATGTGCATGCTATGGGTAGTAAACTCTACAACGTTTAAAAAAAATTTTTTACAATTATGCACCTGTGTTATTTTACTCTGAGCCTGCTCTCATTGTAAAGAATATAAGGAGTTAACACACAGATATAATACTTTATTCATAAAGTATTTCACACTTCAGGAAAAAATGATGACAGGTATAAAAGATGTAACTATGAAGTATTGAAAAAGTACCATTCAGTATCAAAATGTGCTGAAATATACAAAAACATTTTGTGTTTGTTTATAATGATTTCACTTCATTTACCTGTTAGGTATACAAACTTTAATTTTTTTAACCAAAATTTTATTACAGTTTTATTTTTTTCTGATGAGTAATAACAGAAATGTTTTCATGTTTGGTAAAACTGGTTCACACCAACCGTACAAGTAACTACATGTAGAGTACCTAAATATTTCACCACATCTGTAAATGTAATGAATAATGTACATGCTGTGTAAATGTACAACAACAATATGCAATTTGTTTTATATGAATAGTTTTCCCAGTGGCTAATCATGTATTCTGGTGCTGTAACAATACATTTGTGGAAGATGTACAAAAAACAGCTTTTAACACTTTTTAAATCATTATGACATGCTCATGTATTTGAAAAACAAAATCACTCTTCCCGAAAATTGTTTGAGCTAAGTTTTCATTTACTTTTGTTACATACACCTTTCCGTCTTCATTGTTCTTCCTATGTACGAGTACACAACGAGCCATTATAAAAAACATGTAATTGCATCTCTTAATTATGCTTGGAGGTTCCCAATTGTGGCCACACCCTACCCCTGGGGGTCATGATTTGAACAATTCAGAATCTTCACTGTATGGGTGTTGTGATCACCCATTTTATGGAATGCTCCCTCCTGGTTCTTGGGTCGAGGGTTCCAGCCCAAACAGCAACACTAGCACTTGGCACAATAAAGTGAAAGTTGGAGGTCTTGGATGAGACAGTAAAAGTTGAGGTCCCATGTAAGAGCAGGCATTGGCACGCTAAAGAACCTTCACTCCTCACTGGGCCTTAGTGTTGAGCAAAGGTCTAAATTTCAAGTCATTCTCTGCATTTTGTGATTTCTCATAAGGGTTAAATAATCTTGCAAGGGATGTTACATGTAAGTTACAATGATCAATTCATGCTTTGATGCCTCGATGGAAATGCTGTAAATTCAAGTAAAATTTCTGCTAAAGATGGGTGCTCCAATAGATGCAGCAATTTGAGTTATATTGTTGTTTCTACCTGGAAAGAAATCCACAAAAAATAATTGTGATATTCAGATAAATAAATATTTAATCATTATCAAGTATACAGTTTACACATGTAACTAGTTATGATGATTTTTTTCATTGTCCAAAACTTTGACTTTTATGTATTTTTTCTGAGGGAAAAAATAAAAAACATATTATTAAATATTGTAGTTTAAATATAATCACAATATGGGAACCAAATTAGGATTTACATGATACAAACAATATTTAAAATTAAGTACAATCATACATTTCAAAGTTAGGTGAATAAATAGATAGTAAAAAATACATGAATATACTCAAAGTCAAAATACATATTCAAACCCTAATAAAGCATATGATTAATGAGCATGTGCAGTGAACAAAGAACAGGGGAACAGCAAATAAGAACATATTTCACATTTATCCCCTTTTTAAACAAGAGTGATGTTTTCATTTTTCAAAAGTATCAACACACTCAACTTACCTGATCATGTTGTTTGTAAATAAAAACAAACATGTCTTAGCTAGGGTTTTTTTTTTTTTCAACAGCAGGTATTTCTTCAGTACATGTATCTCTGTAGATTTTTTTCTGTGGTTAAAAAAAAATCAATCATTAGATTTGAAATTCAAAATACATGTGAATATTGTGATGTACAAGCTAGCATCATAACGACCAATTAGCATGATCAGTGTGATTCAAGTATACACATTTTTAAAGCTGTTTAATCATGTTAATTTTTTCAAAGCTTTGTGCACTGTAAAAGATATGAGGGCAACTTATAATTTTGGAGGAAACAGTTTTGTGAGATAATTCAGATAAATATAATTATCATAGTTAAAACAAATGATTCAAGGGTTCACTTATATAATATGGCACATAATAGCACACTTGATTCTGATGATTCAGCACTTTGGTAAAACAGGGAATGACCAGTTCCTATATAAATCTATACTTAAAAAGTCTAACATTTCCAATATTTTACTGAGTGGTCATTAAAAAAGTCAATGTTTGACCTTGGAGTGAGATACT